CTGAAGCTAACTGTATTTTCCATGAAAACAAAGCCGAGACTTGGACTTTATTGATCCACCAAGGAAATGACTCAGACGCTGTAGCTCACACTTCACATTAAATTACAGCAACACAGAATCAAAAAAATATAAAAAATGGTAATAAACATCTAAATAAGTAGCAATAAAAAACTACTTAACCTAGGGTGACCATATTTCCGTTTGTGAAAACCCGGACACCTTGGGGGGGGAGGGCAATTGCCGCGTTTACGGAGCTGAGCTGGTCCTTTCTCCTGTAGTCACCTCCGAGCCCGTCCTGACACTGAGTCCTGTTTCAGTTCTGGTTTAGTCCTGTTTTAGTCCTAGTTCAGTCGTGGATTAGTCCTCCTCTTCAGTCCTGGAATCAGTCCTGGGTTAGTCCTGGTTTAGTCTTGGTTCAGTCCGTGGCGTAGGCAGCACAAAAGTTTGATATAATCTCTGGTTAACGGGCAGGTGCGGTCCTGTCCTGGCGGGTGTGGTGTTGTACTGCAGGTCTCCAAAAATGGACCCGTGCAGGACTCTGCGCTGCAGGCTCTATTACGGAATAAATTAATCTTCAGTTTCGTTACATAAAGAAGGAGGAAAATAACAAAAGGACGACAGCAGCAATAAGTTTTAAGAAGGAAGTAAAAAGGGTTGCACCTGTCCTTCTGAGGAAAGTGTAGAAAGTGTGTGGTGAGAGGTTTTACAGCCTTAAAACAGATAGAATAATTGTAAAATATAAAGTTGACAACTTCGTGGATTTCACCTATCGCAGGTTATTTTTAGAACGTAACCCCATGATAAACGAGGGACACTGTCCTCTCACCTCACAACCTGTGCACATGACCTCCCACTTGTCTCGACGGGGACGGAAAACGGAGAATTTCTTGTATAAGTCTTTGTTAAATGCACATTTATGCTTCGGTATGTTGCAGACTGACCGACTGTCTCGCTCCTTCTGAGTCACAGACGCTACGAGAGACGCTCAGTTTAATGCCCCCAATGAACAAACTGAAAACCCAAACATTTGCATCACTTTATAAAAAAAACCCGGATGCCCCGGACAGGACGCAAAATACGAACATGTCCGGGGAAAAACGGACGTTTGGTCACCCTAATTTAACCTGGAGCTAATCTGAAGCTTTCTGCATTTTTCATGAAGACAAAGCCGAGACTTGGACTTTATTGATCCACAAAGGAAATGACTCAGACGCTGTAGCTCACAGTTCACATTAAATTACAGCAACACAGAATCAAAAAAATATAAAAAATGGTAATAAACATCTAAATAAGTAGCAATAAAAAACATATCTAGAGTTTGATATCAATGAGACATTAATGATATAAACGCAGAGTCTGGGAGGAGCTGCGCTGAAGCAGGATTAGCTGTGTCATCCTCACGGTTCACAAAAGAGCAGGACAAAAGCAGGATTAAGTCATTATCCTGCGGCGGATGGGAGCGTCGTTTAAAGTGTAGAGATTATAAAATCACGTTTAAACACGAGAAGGAGTTTAGTTTTGGTTTAATTTAGGTGGTTTAATGTTGAAAATCACATTCAGAGTATCAGAATCTTTATTGAGCTTTGGTGGAACGTAACAAAGTAAAAGTAGTAAAATACTGTACTTAAATAACAGTTTTACATATCTGTACTTTACTTAAGCGAATACTTTTTACTTTTACTTTACTACATTTGAGAGCAGGTATCTGTACTAATCTGTGTGGCATTAATTTGTCAATATAAAATCAAAAATAAGAAAACGAAAAAACAACAGTTTTCTTCATTATTTGTAAAAAAAAAAAAAACAGATAATGATTCATTTTTTTTTCAGTTTTTGATTTTGTGTTTAAATGAAAAAATGGAAAAAACGGATAACGGCCGTTTCCTGTTTACGTGACTTCAGTGACTGTGATGCCGGACTGAACCAGGACTAATCCAGGTCCGGGACCAGACCGAGACCAGACCGAGACTGAGACCAGAGAGACCAGACCGGGACCAGACCCAGACCGAGACCGGGACCAGACCGAGACCGGGACCAGACCGAGACCGGGACCAGACCGAGAGACCAGATGGGGACCAGGCCGGGACCAAACCAGGACCAGAGCGGGACTGAGACCAGACCTGGACCAGACTGAGACAGAACTGAGACTGGGACCAGACCGGGACCAGGCTGGGACCAGACCAGAGGCTCAGAGCCCTTGGCAGGGCCGAAGCTCGGAGTCGAAGCTCGGAGTCGAAGCTCGGAGTCGAAGCTCGGAGTCGAAGCTCGGAGTCGAAGCTCGGAGTCGAAGCTCGGAGTCGAAGCTCGGAGTCGAAGCTCGGAGTCGAAGCTCGGAGTCGAAGCTCGGAGCCGAAGCTCGGAGCCGAAGCTCGGAGCCGAAGCTCGGAGTCCCGGTCTGGTCCCGGTCTGGTCCCGGTCTGGTCCCGGTCTGGTCCCGGTCTGGTCCCGGTCTGGTCCTGGACCTGGTTCAGTCCTGGTTCAGTCCGTATGCAGCACAAAAGTCCGGGATCGCAGTCACAGAAGTCATGTAAACAGGAAATGGCCGTTATCTGTTTTTTTTCCATTTTTCATTAAACACAAAATTGAAAACTGAAAAAACGAATCATTACCTGTTTTTTCATTTTGGTTTTGGAGACAAATAATGAAGAAAACAGTTGTTTTTTCGTTTTCTTATTTTTGGTTTTATATTGAAAAACGAATGAACGAACGATACATGGATTTGTACTTTCTACTTCTCTCCATTTTTGAACATGACTACAAAACTAAAAATATTTTTTTATTGAGCACTGAGGGTTTATTTTTAACATATTCATAATTTGAGCAAACACAAATAAAACAAACAAATAAAAGCGGCTGGAAAGAGATCGTTTCCATTGTCAAGCAAAAACTGGGACACTCTGTTTGTGGTGGTTGGAAATAGTAAAATTGTGACTCGAGTGTAATTGAGGAAAATTGTTCTGCACTTGGCCTATTCACGAACATGAGTCAGTTTAGTCACATTTTCTTTGTGTTTTGGTTATTTTTTAAAGCAGCTTTTCTGTGTTTTAGATAAACAAATAACAGTTTATGACTCTTTTTACTGTTGGCACGGATCAGATTTGTCAAAAATGGGGAATTCTGAGACATTTCTTGTATAAAACTGGGACTGTCCCGGGTAAATAGGAACGTCTGGTCACTGCTACATTTGAAGCTTTACACGACCTCAAAATCTGAGCAAAATACTTTTACTTTTTACTCTTTAACAGTGTTGGGAAGGTGACTTTTAAAATGTATTCCCCACAGATTACATACACCAAAATGTAGTAACATAATCCATTAAATTACTTAAAGTGAGTAACGTAATCTGAATACTTTGGATTACTTGATTTGCTGTAGAGAAACAAAGACCAGGATATTGTAACATAAGAAGTTTTGTCTGTTAAAAGAAAATAAAAAAGCCCAAACTTTACTCAAGCAAATTAAAAATATTATTGATAGAAGAGGAGGAGACACGTCCACACAGCAGGATTTAGTCCTGTTAAATCTTGTTTTAGACCTGGTTTTAGAGTTTAGACCTGGTTTAGACCTGGTTTAGACCTAGTTTTAGACTTGTTTTAGACCTGGTTTTAGTCCTGGTTTAGTTCTGGTTAAGACCTAGTTTAGTCCTGGTTAAGACCTAGTTTAGTCCAGTCCAGGTTTAGTCCAGGTTTAGTCCAGGTTTAGACCTGGTTTAGACCTGGTTTAGACCTGGTTTAGACCTGGTTTAGACCTGGTTTAGACCTGGTTTTGACCTGGTTTAGTTTCCGGCAATGAGTGGAATTACCAAAAAAAAAAAAAAAAAAGAAAAAGAAAAAGGGATTTAGCCCAAAATGTGAAAACAGTAAAATCCCTCTGTGTAATCCATTTATTTCAACAAAGTAACTGTAATCCAATTCCCACTCACTGAAACAGTAACTGTAACTGAATACAGTTACTCATAATTTGTACTCTGATTACATAACTCTGGTACATGTAATCTGTTACTCCCCAACACTGCTCTTTAAACACATTTTTTAACAGGTACTCCAATATTTTCACTCAAGTACATTTTTTCACATGATACTTTTACTTTTACATGTGTATTTTTTGCTCTGGTATCTGTACTTTTACTTACTTAACAAAATCGAGTACTTCTTCAACCAAGACAAAAATAAATAAATAAACACAAGTAAAATAAACTAAAAATGAATAAATAAATACAAGAAAAGTTAATAAATTTGAGTCTCTTCCTTAGTATTGAAATCGAATTTGAAGTTTTAGTGTCGTGACAACACTTACAGTTTTGTTTTGTTTTTGTTTTTTTAATAATGCCGGTGCGTATTGTTTAGTTCATAATTTGGGTTTGTCCTTAAACCTTTTGTTGCGACATCGGCGGGATTAGAGTTACACCTGTTTAAGTTTGGCTCATTTAGTAAAGTCAGACTTGTTTTGTCGTTATCCTGCAGCTTTGTGGTTTTACTGTACAACTATTGTGTTTTACTTGGCCTTAAAGCTGCACTGTGTAACTTTTCACCTGCTTGTTTCTATGGATACGTCGTTGCTTTGCCTAGAATGTTCCACAGTGTGACTTTAAACAGCCTTACTTTACATTTTTACTCAATTACAGGTGGTTTTATAGCTCAAAAATACTTAAAAAAAAACAAACATTATGACTGAGCGGGGTCGCCTCTCCACAGATCTGACCTGTAACTTGGTCCGCTTTGGTCTCCGTGAAGATAGAAAGGTTTAATGCCGCACTGTGGAACGTTCCGAATCAATAATGTCTGTTTTTTAAAGTATTTCTGAGCTGTAAAACCACCTGTAATTGAGTAAATGTAAAGTAGAGCTGTTTAAAGTCACACTGTGGATCATTCCAGGCAGAGCAATGACGTATCCATGGAAACAAGCACCCACGCAAAAAAAGTTACACAGTGCAGCTTTAACTCTAGTGTGCATTTTGTGTTAAATATGTTTTGTTTTGTTTTTTGTCTTGTAATTCCCAGGTCCGGCACAGTGCGGCGCTCCAACACCAGTCCCATGGGTTTTCCCAAGATGATTTCCGGTTCTCCGAGTTCGGGAGAAATCGCTCAAAACGTGGGACGACGTCTGTCCACGGGAAGCTCCAGACCCTACTCCCCCTCTCCGCTGGGTAAGAGAACTACACTACCCATAATGCCCCTCTCCATTGATTAAAAAAAACACTGCATTACCCACAATATTCATCTCATCTTGGTAAAAACAAAAATACTACACTACCCAGAATCCCCTGCTTCTCTAGGTAACAACAATACACCACCCAGAATCCTTTTCCTACAAGAAAAAGATTTAGAGATTATTGTTAATTTAATTTCCCTGAAGCTTTAGTTCAGTAAGCAAAAAAGGTCAGATTTTCGGTTTTGCATTTTATTTATTATTTTATTTTAATGAGATTTGTAACTCGGGAATCTGGATTTAACGCTTTATTTTATTTGTGGCTTTTTTTTTTTTTTTTCTTTTTTTTTTAAGACACACAAAAAGATACAAGTTAAGCGAAATAAACAAAAACAAACAAATAAATAAAAAACAAATAAAGACAAACAAAATAAACAACAAAACATTTGGCAAATAAAAATAAATAAAAATAAAGACAAAAATTAAAAGTGGACAAATAAAGAATAAATAAAGAAAGACAAAAGAATAAAAATAAAGACAAAGGCAAAATAGACTAAAAAGAATAAAGAGAAGCAAAATCAAGAAAAATAAATAAAAATAAACACAAGAAAAATAAACAAAAGAAAAAAATACAGACAAGCAAAATAAAAATAAAAAACCTAAGCAAAATAAACAGAAAAGAAAAACTAAAGAGAAGCAAAATTAAGAAAAAAATAAAATAAAATTTAAAATTTTAATTTAATTTAAAAAATTAAAATTAAAAACAAAAGAAAAAATATACAAGCAAAATAAAGGAAAACAAACAAATAAAAAATAAATAAAGACAAGCAAAATAAACAAAAAAAAGAAAAAATAAAGATGAGTAAAATGGAAAAAAAAAAAAAAAAAAACAAGAGCATAAAAAAGTCGGAACCCAACTTCTCCTCTTGGGAAAGGGGGGATCTGAGCGCCACATGAACGTCACAGCAGAACACTACATTACCCACAATCCCCCTCACTGCCCTGCTCTCCCTCTCTCTCTCTCTGTCCTCTGAGTTCATTTTATTTCATGTTTTTCTCTCTGTCTTTCTCAGTGGGGACGATTCCGGAGCAGCTCGGACACTGCACCTGTCACCTGCAGAACCATGAAGCTCGGAGCCGGAGTTCGTCTGGAGGTCAGTGAGGAACCAAAGAACGAAATCTGAAATAAACAAAAATAAACAAATAAACGCTGTTGGTTCTGCAGCTGTTAGTACTTCACTCATACTTTTATATTTTTATACTTCTACTCTTACTGTTATTGTAAATACTTTATTTATAAGTTCTATTGCACAAGACTCGGTTTAGTTCAGTTTTCATTTTGGCGCCGTTTCGTCCCTGGTTAAGTCTTAGTTAAGTCCTAGTTAGTCCCTGGTCTAGTCCTGGTTTAGTCCTGGTTTAGTCCTGGTTTAGCCCTGGTTTAGCCCTGGTTTAGCCCTGGTTTAGTCCTGGTCCAGTGGTGTTTTCGTCCTGGTTTAATCTTGGTTTAGTTCTGGCTCAGTCCTTAGTCCTGGTTAGTCCTGGTTTCTGGTTTCCTGGTTTAGTCCTGGTAGTCCTGTCTTTAGTTTAGTCCTGTTTAGTCCTTTAGTTCCTGGTTTAGTCCTGTTTAGCTTAGTCCTGGTTTAGTCTTTAGTCCCTGTCTTTAGTCCTGGTTAGTCTGGTTTAGTCCTGGTTTAGTCCTGTTTAGTCCTTTAGTCCCTAGTCCTGGTTAGTCCTGGTTAGTCTGGTTTAGTCTGTAGTTTAGTCCTGTTAGTCCTGTTTAGTCCTGGTTTAGTCCTGGTCTAGTCCTGGTCTAGTCCTGGTCTAGTCCTGGTCTAGTCCTGGTCTAGTCCTGGTCTAGTCCTGGTTTAGTCCTGGTTTATCTCTCTCTTTGTAACTCATCTTTCCTCACTTGTTGTGTGTTTTCTTTCCCTCTCGTGTCGTCGTGACCTGAGCTCCGTGTTTCATGTTCAGATCCTGTTTTCGGCTTTAATCCGTCGTCTCAGGTCACGTTTACAGATCTGCTCGTTTACTGTTTTTCTGTTTTGGAGTTTTAGTCATCGTGAGTCAAAAGTCCAGTTTAAACTCCCGGACGTGTCGTGTTCTCTCCTCTGTTCTCTCCTCCTCCGTTTGTGTGAAGAGACGGTTATTTTTACTTTGGAGAAGTGACGCATCAGACCTCGGCACTTCGGACCGTTTTAGAAAGTTTCTGACAGGGAAGTGTTGGAGCAGAGACACGATGACGAGCTGTTGGACGTTTGGAAAGAAAGGAAATCATAATAATTGTGTAATTTAAGGACAAACTTTGGTCTTTATTTACATTATGGTCGGCAGGTAACAATTAGAAGTATGAAA